ACTTCAGGGCTCCTTAAGGGTAGAGCATCTGCATGGTTATGTGGGTTCTTCCACACAGACCTGTCTCTTGTCCCATGATATTTATTCATTCATTGATCAGTATGGACTCCTGCATACAGCTGTTTTGGTACTTCAGGTGTCTCTTCTATGTCTCTAGGAGTTTAAAGTTCTTGGGGATCAGTGGCATTTCAGAGAAAGAGGCAGAGTGTGGTAACTAGTATTGCATAGAATTTAGGTGATCTTAAAGAAGAACCTAACCACCATTAGCACTGTTAGGCTCTGATTATGTTCTTGTTTGGTTGATTGAGGTGCTCTCTGCCTTCTGAGGATGGGCTGTGGGAAACAGCTGGAAGGCCTTTCTAACATTGGTCCTTTCTTCTGGATGTGGGGAAGGTGGAACCTTGTTGGAAATCCTAATTGTGACTTCTGCCCCAGTTTCTCCAGTTAGTTTAGCACCAGCTTTTCCAAAAAGCTGGATTTGTGATCTTTTTGTCCATGCTTTACTTTGGCAATAATCCTAAAAGCCTCCTTTGTTGCTATTAAGGATTGCTGTATAACTGTCCTTCTCTCTTCCCACCTTCCTGGCCCCCCAAAAAGAAGAAAGAATTATCTCTAGAAACTTGGACCAAGGTTGGGCGGCTCAGGGGGTCCCTTCCTGTGGAGGAAGCTGCCTCTGGCACGTCCCTCTGACACAGGGACGGTATCAACTTCAAAGAGTACCGAGAACAGATGCCAACAGACCGGGAGATGTGGAGGGGACCAGGGTCAGAGCTCCACACTGACTGTTGAGTATGAAAGCCTGATTTTAGCTCTAGGCCTTAAATACAAAGTCGTTCCACGGCTGCCTCTGCCGTAGTTTGTAGCCCATCAATTTCATCAGGTATAAATACATTTGATGCATAAAAATGAATTCCTCCTTCAGATTTATGAGGTCCAGGGAGCAGAATGGTGCCATTTTCATTCTGTGGTAATAAGGGTCAAGTACCCAATGCCAGGCAGGGGCGCAGTCCCAGGTGGTGGTGGAGGAAGGCAGGGCTGTAGGCTCTTCCATTCTTGTCAGACAGTCATGTTCACAAAAGTCCAGCCATCTTAGAGACTCCTCACAACAAGATCAGCTCCACCACAACAAGACAGCCCTTCTCACCCAGAGAGAAGGCCCTTCTCTGCTCTTGCCCATTGGCACTGGGACAGGGCCTTGCCGGTGCCTTGGCTGGTCCCGCATTGCTGATCAGGTAGGGCTTCATTCCCCATGGTCCTGTGACGAGTGTTCCAGCAGAGGTTGGGGTGGGGGCTGGGGTGGGGGCCGGGGCAGG